CATAGCGCTAACGTAACGATTACTATATTGGAATCTAACCCTATTTTCAACAAAAACAATTTATTGTTTCACAAAAATGGCAAAAACGATCACCTCTGATAAACTCACGTTCTGTATTAGAAGTGGGGCTAGAACAATAATTGGTGTAAACAATAATCAATACTACTGAACTTTTGTTGACTGCTATTTGTAATCTATTGAAGGATCTGGACGAGAAATTTGATAAATCACAAACTAAGATTGCCGATATTAAATCTGAATTATTAGGTTGTCAACAATAAAATATCACTCTTCGAAGAAGTGAATATTGCTTTGAAGAAAGTCGTACAGTCGCAGGATCGCAAACTTCGGCGAAATAATTTTTTGGTTTTTGGTATCGAAAACGGAGACTATAGTGAATCCCTTTCTATTTTAAGCCATATTCTTGAACTACCCATCAAACTAGTTGATGTTAATAATATATACTCCTTCGAAAATAAGAACAAAAAGCGAATAGTGAAAATTGAAGAACATCTTTGTGTATAACGATTCAAATCCTGAGGACCAGATTATCCCTAAATCCTTAAGAAACTACGTATATTGCTTAACGTAATGGAGTCGAAGCAACTATCCAAAATAACCACAAGATCATCAAAGATGTCTTCCACACTTTCGCTGATATCCAGTCTAATCCGGAACTCTTACAAGTCAGCTGCAACAGAAGCGAGGCTGTGCCCTCTTCTGCATGAAAAGCTGATAAATGGACCTTAAGATCTAGTACAACTTCTGATCGGAATTACAAATAACTCAATTACTTTCATCTTCACTGCATTTCTTAGCTTCAATTTTGAATGCATATACAAGCTCGCACAAGTTACTCAACTTCTGAGAGTTATCGTTCGTATGGGGGCGACAGCTGATTAACGGAAAAACAGATTTTAAAACAGACAAATTTTTTTAAACTTGTTTCGTTATAGCAATAAAACATACATGAAATCAATTTTAAATAGATCTATAAGAATTATAATGAATTTTCAGTGAAGTTATATAATAAAATAAAATAACAGGTAGGTATATAAACATTATGATAAAATTTCAATATACTAATATAATTAAAAACAAGCAATGAGTAAGGAGAATTTTATCTGCGAAAGATACGTTGTTACGGTTTGGATGGTCCACCCCGTAACTTCAAAAACTAAATTGGTCCGATAAGCCGTTCGCTCGCAGCTCATTCAAGTGGAGAATTCGTTCCTTGAAAAGAAAGGGGAAAAAAAGCGAACAGCTGATCTGGGTTTTGATAAACAAGTTCTCTTCTGGTCGTGTGTATGTGTTGTATTTCGTAATTGTACCTTTTTCTCTATTGTGCAATAAGATTTGAAGTAATGTAAACTTATTTACTTGATTTACAAGAATAGGGAAGGGCACTAAAGTGAGAACTCGAGTAGGAACGTGATGTAGGAGTAGAATGTGGCTTATTATAGTTAGTTGAGTGCTTCAACGTTAAGAAGGAATTGGTTTTCATCGTTGTCTCTGCTCCTGGTTGTGGAAGAGTCTAATATCTGTGGAGAGAAGCATTTCAAAGCGATATTAGGAAAGGCTTTCCGCCAATAATATTCACTACAAGGTGGATAAAATACTGTATAAGCAGTTGGGGCTTTTCCTTTGTTACTTATTTTGGATACGAGAGGTTTTGTGGACGTAAGGACCCTCAAGAGGTAACTTAATACGTATTCAAGAACAACTGGTGAGTGACTTATTTTTTTGTGCAATTTATAGGGTTCCAGTGAGGAGGCCACTATTCCTGATTGAACTTGATGTGGCAGTTAATGAAGTGGCCATTTGCTTCTACATGCAATATTGCTGTCTTGGGCAAGTGAAATCGATAGCTCTCAACTCAATATCCCGTCTGAATTCTCCGGAGAAAACTGTAGAACTTGTAGTTGTTAGGAGTGCTGACTTATCAAATTGCAAGTTTTGAAATGGTCTTCCAGGTCTATTGAATTATTAGTCGATACCATTTTATTTAAGCCCTCTGATCCGTTAATTTAAGCAAGAACAATACAAATAAAATAGGGATTTTGAAGAGAATTTCAACGACGTTCTTATTTAAAAAGAAATTGTATTATGTGTTTTGGTCCTAAGGTAACGTGTAAGCGACAACGTGACGTCACTGCGGCGCGTTAACTGAGTTTGTTTTGCCTTTTTGTTGTTGTTATGAGTAAAAATATATTAGATGTTAAGGGGCAGTCCTTTCTTTGTGTGAATTGATTATTTAGTAATTTGTACCGATACGCGTAATCCTGATTATTATTGTAATATAATTGTTAATCATCTTTATATCGTTCCGATTTGTCTGTTCATACCCAGTCACCCTGGGCAGTCTACTAGTTAAGACTGGCTCATTGATAACTAGTGGCGCCCATTAAATCAACTCAGGAAAATCTAATAAAATTGATCTCGTGGACCCACCCCGACCGACACTTGAGCTTGGGTACGAGTTCACGCACCTCAGCTATTGGACAGATGAACAAGGGTACATAATATTATTTGAGTAGTGCGTAACGCACCTAAACGTGTGGCTCAAAATGAGTTGAAATGCTACAGGTTTTGTCTTGAATACTTATAGGTCATATAAGGTGGAAGGTTGTGTCACTATTTTCAATAGAAGATTGGTTATTGATGAATTGTAATTCACACTAGGGCTCAGAATGGATGTCAATAAACTTTTGAAGGATGAGGTGAAGTATGCATTGCTTGTTAAAGGGTTCTCAGGGCTTCAGGCGGAATTTGTTACGTCTATGCGGCGTCAGTTACAAGAAATTATCAGAACAGAAACATTTGGGGATATTGTTACAGATGCTGGCTTCAACCCGGTTTCGTTAGATGAAATTGAAATTATTACAAAAAAAACGGAAAGTTTAGAACAGTTCGTAGATAGTTGGCGTAATAATGGTAATGAAAAAGGGGATGAAGTTGTTGATACGAAACTAAAACATTTGTATGGTAGAGTACAACGACTCAAATTAGAAGATAAGCCTGAGAATAGAGTTCTATTTGTAAAATCTTTACTAAATTAGAAATATTAAATACATAATACAATATAAAACGCAATACAATAATATAGTGATAAAATGTTCAAGTGAAATAAAACTGTTTTTCTTTGTCAACATCATTCATCTAAGTGTAAAAATGTAAGAGAAACCACAAGAAAACTCAACAGTTAGCAGATAAAATATCAAGTTTTTTGGCAAATTGCAAAATATAATCCAACTAAATTATTTTTGAAACTCCTGGATATATTTTCAACATAAAAAAGGCAACTTTATATTCCCTAATTACTTTTACGTTGTTAGGGAGAAAAATTATATATCTATATTCAATAACACTGTTCTTATTGAAAAACATTTTATAATGTTATGTTATCTTACGTTATATTCTGTTATGTATTGTTACAGCCCATTTTCCCAGTATTCTTATAAATAATTTCCTAATAATTAGCAACTTATTTCCGGATGTTGGAAATTTCCCTACCATTCAATAATTTTCCTTTCAAAAATATAATTATAAATCTCCCAGTATATTATTCAGTGGTCTCCGTGCGAACAAGCGAATACAATCTATGTTCGCGCCACTCCTACCCTATTCCTTCGAATGAAAGGTGCGATTTCAACAAAGACAGAGAAACGGTCAAGTGTTGTCTCTCGTCTCCTCGAATCCTTTCAGCAAATATCGAGTTTTTTTTTAAATAGGTTTGTTGATCACTCGTCCCACAAATTTTGGAATTCTTGGTGCATGGTGAAAATAGAACATTCAGTCAATAAGTGAGTGTACTGGAGATCATCGACTTGGTATTGTTATATCTGTTGATTTGAGGATTATTGCAGATATAAATCATCATATAGGAATTAGTTTGATGCTCCAATATTGATACCAATCCGGAAATTTCCTGCTTTTATGGATTTGTGCACTGAACTCTGCTGGAGGAAATTTTGTGTCTTATCATTTTATTTTGGAAACCTACTATTGAGTAAATGAACCCTCTTAATATCTAGGTAAGGCAAAAACAAACAATAAAAATAATTAATCTTTCTTCTCCCTTATTGTGTTGTATGCTACGATTCGAATGGTATAATTTTTAGGGTTCTAGTTTTGGATTTTCCATTTTCTTTAATGCACCACAGATCACTTTCGATTCATTGCTCGACGATAAATTGTCTGGGCGGAACAGGAAAACGCTTCAAGTCTGGTAAGCGAGTATTTCTCCATTGTTTATCTATAATTTCTGCCGCTGGAATTGCTGCTATGATACTGCAAAAACCCAGAAATACCAGTGCAGGTTCTTCCTTGATTATATAAATTTTATTATCACATGAATATTTTTTTCTTATGTTATAATAATAAGAGTTTTATTTTGTGAGCCAATTATAGCTATATTTGGAGATTCATATATGAACGATATGTCTCGAGATTAATGCAAATATCCACCAGAGTTACCAACTTGTATTGGTTAAATGATATCAAGTAAATCTTTTTTTTTATTGGACATTAATTAAGTGTTGATTATTTACGATTAGTTGTTATTTATAATTGTCAATTATATTTCTTTCCCCTTCAAGAAAGTTTCTTGGCAACACAAAACCGTATTAAACGTGTAGCGCTGCTTTATTTTATATAACATTTCTTTAAAGTTCCCACGCCCACACCACTGAGTGAGCAGGCTGGTTTTGGTCAAGAAACAATAATTCAGCATAATGTCATATGATTATAGTATCATTTTCATCTCATTGTAGATGAAGGTTCATATTGAAATAATAGTAACCTAGCATTGGAATTGCCCCCGTAACAGTAAAGAGCCAAATTTGAAACAGAATTGAAAATAGCATAATTTAAATTAGTTGTAAAATAATTTTCTGAATGTTTTTAGTTAGATTAGGTACTAAAATGCATGGTTTCAACCACTTTCCCGAAGATGTAAACATTCCTATTGTTGAAGGTCTACTGGAAAATTAAAGGCTCCATGATGAAGTTATCAATTTAATTCATAGATAATAATATAAAGCATCTCCATAAAAGTAAATTCGTATAACACTCCTAGTACAGTCCTCTAGACACTATTCACATTACAAAATACAAGTGTTAAAGCAATGCACATCATTTTGAGTGAGTGATATCAAATAAGAAATGTTAATAGATCACATGATATAGTACCAAATGCAAGTATTAATGCGTGAAATAAATAAATGAATAAAATATAAATAAAATGTATCTATAAAGAACACTAAAACGGAGTAATGGTCCACAATTTAGTGTTGCAGTCTTGCCCAACAGAAACAAGAGTATTATTGTCTACCCAGGACAGTCTAGTGATTTGGCTTTGAGCATGAGCATCTGAAAAAGAATTAAAAGTTTTCTTTCACTTATTTTATGTGAAAAGTATGAATTCGGGCACACTAAAATTTAATTACAATGGTAGAAATATTCTGAATTCATTCATGAGACAATACAGTAGGGCTCATTCAGATCCCTCACCCTCTTGACTGATAATATTACTTACTCTTAATGATTATATGTTTGGCAGGCTTTTCCACATGCCAAATGATGATGCTGGTGTCAAGACTTCCGCTAGCGACTAGCTGAGAATCAGGAGACCATGCCACACAATTGACACGGGCATTGTGGAATCCCCACTCTTTGTTATTGGCAAGCTGAAAATTGCAAAATTTTTAAATCTATATTATTTTTGAGGAACAATCCGATTATCAGTACACAAAAAAATTGTCAAACAGTTGAGACAACAAAAGAAAACACATGCGTCATCAATAGAATTTGTGATAAAATAGGCTCATCGATATGGACACTTAAATTGGAGCTGATTAATAATTGAAAATCGATTCCTGCAGTTGAATTGCCAAAAGCATATGCAGGAATTGGTTCTGTGAAGAATCCTGCACTGACACCTGTCGGATACAATCCAACGCCTTTTATGGTAGTAGCCAGGGGAGTAGTCGTTTTGTGTTAGGTGTCAGTCCATAAACCTACTGTGTAGGCAAGGGAAGACTGGCCTGAATGATTGGTTCTTTTTGACAATTTGATTTAAAGCCAGTCTTCAAGTATGCCCACTTACTATAGATGGAATAAACTGTTATTTTCAGAATATCGATGGAAACCGTTCAGCGATTATGGTTGTCATAATACTTATCGAAACTCGGTTGAAACTGGTTTTCGTAAGTTTGATCTATTTTGCTACGACCGCAAGTCATCTATCAGTGATGAACTACTTGAAGGAGGAGTGCTCATAGCCATGTGAAAGAGCTTGTTAACTCATCAAGAAGAAATCGTCTGTGATATCATCGAGCAAGTATTCAAGTTACATTTTATTGTGAGATTTTCACTGAGTTTATAAAACCGCAACATATGTTTCACTATACAATAACTTTCTCGGACATGTTCATGAAGGAAGGTATTGTATAGTGGAAAGTATTGCGGTTTTCTAAACTGTTCAGAATAAATTATTAATGAACATTAAAAAGTACAGCGGACCCAATATTGACTCTTGTAGCACTCCTGAATTTGTTCTTACACCCTCAAGACAGTAACTTGCACGCGATTTGCCAGGTAGGATGTAATACTTCTACGATTTGAAAATTAAGAAAATATGTATTTATTTTGCATCATTCACTTACCGACTGAAAATCCAGGCAGCAAGGAAATTATCAAATGAAATTAACACACATTTTAAACAATAATTTGAAATAGTAGACTATAATATGAAACACTGGGAGATATATGACAATAATTGCAAATATTCCAGAATACACTAGACATAAAAAAAGAAGTCTGAATTAAAAAATAAATCCAACTGGAAGTCATTGAATTTTGATTTGTTCCTATGATATTTATTATTATATTTCATCATAAAATACTAAGTCTGAAGAAATTTCTTCAACGTTAACAGAAACTAAATTTCAGCTGAATTTGAAAAGAGGAAATAAGAAACAAAAACATTCCAATACAGATACACTAACCTTATAATCTTCTGTACTGTAAAGTACCACTTTTCTGTAGGCATCACAAGCCACAAGATATTTGTAGTCAGGTGAATATGCAACGTCCGTTACGGCTCCCAAATGAGTCAACTCCGAAAGAGGACTCAAATTATTACCTTGAAGCTCGTAAATGTGTACCTTCTTGTCAACTTCTCCTCCTACAGCTATGTGGCCTTTTGGCGAACAGCTTACACAAGTCGGTTCGTAGTTAACTTTCAAGCTACTGAGTTTCTGGTTATCTTTGGAAAGCGTGAGTTCATTTATGCTGGCAGTCACAATGATATTATCTTCTCTGAGCACATCCATACCCCTGGGTTGAGAACCTAGTTTGAGCTGTTGCGGTTTGTAAGTATTCCCTAGAAATAAGGAACAGTTAACAAGAAAAATGCATCAGGATGCAAGGTTATTTCTACAGGGTGGCTCACTTGAAACAGTCTAAATAAAATATTTTTAACGGTTCTAATTCATCTCACATTTTGGGACCCTACAAATGAACAAATGAACACAGATGCTGATAAAACTTTCAAAAACCTGAGCATACAGGAATATTTAGACTATCACTACCCTGCTCCCTACCTATACAGATCAAAATGGCCAGGTAGAGAGGTATATGAGCACCATCATGAATTTTATCTGAATTGAGATGAAAGTAAAAGTGAAGACAAACCAAAACTTCTCCACTGTGGGATTTAATTGGCATAGACACGCCCTTAATTCAGAGACTGACAAATTTTGGAAAATAATGATTTTATATGAAGTCTGTTAAAAAAATAAGGTGAATGTTCAAATTTCGATGGCTGCGTACGTTCGATTAGTGAATTTTTTATGTTGGTACACTTGTTTCGGGCACATGTTCACAGTTTCAGCTGTTTAGCATGTTTAGTTTATTGGTGAGAGGCATAAAAGAAGTGTTTTGTGTGTTCGGCAATTTTTTGCTAATGAAAAAAATGGACCAAAGAATTTACATTGCATTTTGTGTAAAAAATGCAATTAAGTGCTCAAAAACATTTGAAATGTTGACAGTTGCATACGGTGATTGTACTCCCAACCAGAAAAATGTTTACAAGTGGTATAAGCTTTTCAAATCAAATCAAATCAAAATATACTTTATTGTCCAAGAATAACAATTCTCATGACAAAGCATACAGTCACCATGATAACATCACAAATATACAGTTTCACAGAAGGTTGAGAAGATGTGAAAAACGATGCTCAACCTGGACTCTCCAGCACATCAACAACCGATGAAAATGTTGAGAAAGTGAAGAAAATTGCTATGGAGAATCAGCGAATCACTATTAGAGGAGTTACTGAGGATGTCAGCATATCGGTGGGCTCATGCCAAACAATTTTTTCGAAAATTTTAGGAATAAAAGCGTCATAACTGGTGACAAAACATGGGTACTTGATTGTGACATCGAAACCAAAGTCCAATCGTCTCAATGGAAGAACCCAGGAGAGCCAAGACCAAAAAAAGCACGCCAAGTTCGACCAAATAATTTATGCCTCTGGAGAGAAGGATCTCCACCAGTCTTTGAGGGTGATGTAAGAGTACACGCATGCTATCGGTATGAAATTCGGGATAGACAAATGTACAATAGTCCATCTCAAAAGAGGACGATGCGGGGACTACGGAGAGGATATGCAGTTCGTAGATGGAAGCATCCTACACCATTTGGATGGCGGTGAGACGTATACTTACCTCGGGGTGGAACAACGCCACTCACAAGAGGTAACAGCAGTGAAGAACTCTCCCCGCGGCAAGTATCAGCACAAACTTTGACAGATCTGGTCATCGGAACTGTCGGGAAAGAACAAAGTTGTTGCAACAAATATGCTTGCCGTTCCAATTTTACTCTACTCGTTTGGAGTAGTGAAGTGGATTCGGGAGGAGCTGTATCAACTCGACGTAAAGACCCGAAAAATAATGCATCTCTATAGGAGTTTGCATCCCAAATCGTCCGTTCCACGGTTCTACTTCCCCCGACAACAGGGAGGCCATGGACTTTTGAGTTTGGAGTGTCTACATGACAGAATGGTACTGGATACAGCCTGTAAAGTCGTCAGGACTCCGGATCTCCTTCTCTGCATGGTCAGTAACCATGAGAGAGCAGAATTGGAACATTTCTCTTTAGGGCAGCTGCCCGAGCAGCTGATGAACTCGGTTTAGTTTGCGACACTGAAACTCGGTCACCGAGTTGGAACTCGTTCAGCAAAAAGCTCATATACAAGCTGCAGAGATTACCTCACTTCTGCGGAAACACAAGAATGAGCTAAAGCATGGAGTCTTCTTCAATAACATTGGAGACCTTGACTTGGCGCCTGACTTTTGCTTTCCTCAGGTCGAGTGGGCTGAAGTCGGAAACTGAGGGGTTCATCATGGCTTGCCATCATCTTCAACACCTTAGTCTACCGCAGTCGCGTGATGGGTATAGAGGTTCCTGCCACAAGGTGCAGGGACTGCCGCGGGTCTCCCGAGACCCTATTACACTTGCTATCGGCATGTCCAGCATATGCGGTCTCGGCCTATATCCATCGACATAACGCGGCCCTTAGAGTGCTATATTACCATCTACGGTACTCTTACGGTCTTCACGAGACACCGGTGTTGCCCTACGCTCTGGGGTATATTGAATACGTTGTGGGGAACGAGAAGTGCCGAATTTATTGAAACTATTCGTTCCCCACCCTCAGACTCGTACAAGGTAATAAGCCTGTTGTAGTCCTTCTCAACCACCAGAGCAAGACGATATTTGTCGTGGAGTTTTCAGCTCTTGGCGGGACGAATATCGCCCGAAAAGAGGAGGAAAAACGTATAAAATATCAAGATTTTCCTCTTAAAATAATACCGGCCTGCTGCACTAAGGCAGTAATTTTAACCGGACAGATGCAGAAGGTTGTCATTCTTGGCTCACTGCGCTTGCTCAGGGCACATAATTATCGGACCCAATGATGACCCTGTACATGTCAAGGTTTTGCTCACTGTTGCCACATGGTCTTACATTCAATAAGAAGTATTATCTTTAAGTTTTGCAGCGCTTGCTAGCAGTAATAGGAAGAAAACTCCCGGTATTGTAGAAAAACAATTCATGACTTTTGCATCATGATAATGCATCTGCTCACTCCTCATTGTTTGTTCATAATTTTTTGGACAAAAACAACACCATAATAATGCCTCAGTCACCGTATTTAGCCCCTTGCGACTTTTTTCTGTTCCCAAGATTAAGGCGTTTTGCGAGGATTGAGGAAATAAAAACCAATCACTGAGATACCTCAAGGACATATCAAAAAGTGCACATAACAACTGCTTCAGGGATTGAAAAACGCTGGCAAAAGTGTGACAAAATAGAAATTGATGAATAAATATTTTTTGAGAAAAAAGAAAATTCACCTTATTTTTTCAACAGACTTCGTATTTCCTGATTTGATGGATTCATGGGCATTAAATCCATCTTATGAATTACAATATTTCAGTGTTTTTATTAGATTTATATTATATATTAGAATATTTAGATAGAATATTTATATTAGAATATACCACCTCAATATTTTCATCATACGATCTACATACATTATTTTTATTTTTCATAATTGTTTTATAATTTAACTAATGGTGTAGAATGATTTTTTGTTAGACAACCATGTTGCCATTTTCATGTTACTCTAAGTCTTGTTTTATGTATCTGCAGGTATGGTCTAAATTGAATAGACCACTTGTTACATGAGTTGTAAATTATTTTGTTGCTTTGATAGTCAAAAGAGGCTGATTTGATTTTGTAAAAGTAATGCTTTTTCAGGTACCAGTAGTTTTACTTAACCTGTTGGAGAGGTATTTTATGAAAAAAAAATTGTGGCTGTGGTTCATGTCGCGATTGTTTGAGAACTCAAACCAAAGTTACTGATAAATAATGAATTAAACCTCAGTTGAAAGTATTTGTTAATAGCCTCATTAATAGCAGTGGAAAAGCTGTTATATATAAACTTCTTCCAAATCAACGTTTATAGGAAAAAAATCCAAAATAATCAAGTTTACCAAAATTCTCATCAACTTACTGACACTCCATTTTTAGAGAATTATGTACACATAATATGTAATGCTATTTTTCCGCCTATTTTTCAAATTACCCTTTACCTGATGGAAAACTCAACTCATTATTGAACATAACATACCCTCAATGTCGACTTGCTTCAAGCTATCATCAATCCCACAGGTATACAACGTTCCGTCATGGGTCACCATTCCGTTTATCTGATTTCCATGACCAACACCTTCCACTCTGTCATTTTCTCCAGTTTCGGCATTCCACTTGGTAACAAATCCGTCATGGGATGCTGTGAAAATAGTGGACCTATCTTCGCTCAATGTGAGGGCTGTTATGGGTTTGTTGTGACCCTTGACTATTCTGAGAGGTTTTGATGGATTATTAACGTCCAAGTAGTTTATGAAACCACTCAGGGATACCGTGAGAAGATGATTGCCTTGCCAAAGACAGGAAACCTGAAATAAAATTACTTTCATTGAAAAGAACAGTTGAGTGTTATCTAAGGACGCTCAAGAATAAATAATCACCTGTTGATCTTCTACAGTGTTTCCGATTACAAACTCGGACACAATGTTTCTGGTTTCGATATCCCATAGCTTGGCGGTCTTGTCCCCACTGGCCGTCAGCAACTGTTTTCCGTCAGGACTCCACGATACTCCGTAGACTCCTCCTGAATGAGCGGGGCTGCCCACTTCACCCACAAGCTCAGAAGTAGTACCATCGTAGAGGAAAACTTTACCATCAAATCCAGCAGAAGCAAATAAATTTCCCGATGGTGAATATTTGACTGCTTGCACGAAACGAGAATGTTCCTTGAATGAAAGTATGTTTTAGATTTTGGATAAATTTGCTATTAAGAATATTGAGTAAAACTGAGTAATAAAAAATGAAGATATAATTGAATGAGAATAATAAACGAAACTATTAGAGAGGAAAAAACGACAAATCAATTTTTTACAAACCAAGAAGAGATTAAGTAAGTAACAAATTTTATCATAAGGACAACTTGGGAAGTGACATTGTTACGGTTTGGATGGTCCACCCCGTAACTTCAAAAACTAAATTGGTCTGATAAGCCGTTCGCCGTTCGCTCGCAGCTCGTTCAAGTGGAGAATTCGTTCCTTGAAAAGAAAAGGGAAAAAAAGCGAACAGCTGATCTAGGTTTTGATAAACAAGTTCTCTTCTGGTCGTGTGTATGTGTTGGTATTTTCGAAATTGTACCTTTTTCTCTATTGTGCAATAAGATTTGGAGTAATGTAAACTTATTTACTTGATAAATGTTCAGTAGAATATAATTTTGAGTCAATGTTAACAAAGTCAATATCTCCTCAAGAGGTTATAGAACTATCACATACAATTAAAAATAAATACTCTAGTATCTTTGATAAAAAAAACATTTCAATTTTCTATATGAATGTAATATAATTAAATAACCAGAGAGATCAACTCACAGTGGAATATCTCAATTTACTCTGAATATAACAAACTTAATGGAAAGAAAATATTTAGTACTTCAAGGCATTTGACATACTTATAGAAAAACTGGAACTATATGGTATAAGAGAAAATTCACTGAAATGGACCGAGTCTTAGCTAATTGATCGTCAGCAATGAGTTACTATTAACAAACATGGTTGAACAAATAAATCTGAGAATGCTGCAATAAAAGAAGGAATACCCCAAGGAAGCATTGCGAGTCTCTTCTTATTCATCATCTAAATGAACGATTTACGTTATCATTCAAATACGGATAAATCAATTACAGTCTTAGCTGATGACATGAATTTATTTATAGACAGTGAAACATACCCTGAAGTAGTAAAAATAAATATGGAAATGTTTAATGATACAAAAGAATGGTTCACTAGGAATAAGTTAATTTTGAATAAATCCTAAAACTATTCTCATACTTTTTAGAACTAAACAATTACAGAAAGAAACACTCTGTATATCATATGGATAAGAAATTGTTTCAATATTTTTTTGTACAGATGTTCAAGAAATGTATTGCAAGAAATTACACAATTGATGGGATTACAATTGAATTATCATCCCTTATCTCCACAATATTGCTGTGAATTCCTTTAGGATAATTTATGGAAATTATGGTAGGGGAAAGTGGTCATCATTCGTACGTGGGGCACATTCGTACAATTGGTATAACAGAAAAACTAAACAGCACACAAACACATCTTTGCTTATGTGCATAGACATATCGACCACCATGTTGCTAGCGGAGTGTCGCGCTAGTGGCACCACGGCGTTTCAGCTGATAAGATATAACGTGTTTTTGCGGGCTGTGAATAAATTTTTTACCTAATTTCAGTTCGTAGTTGTAAGTAGAATTGTTATGTTTTCGACAAAATGGTGATGAATGATTAATGTTAACATTGTTTAGTTTGAGCTTCAATTGTTATATTTCT